GAGCATACCAACGCAACATATGAATTTGATCCCATAATAGTTTACCTTTTTGTGTCAAGCGATAATCCCTAAAGTATTCACATTGATCCAACATGTCTCCCATAACAAAATTGAATGGGGTTTTCATAGGATTATCAAAGTAGTACATAATATCTTGAACATAATGAGCATCGAGGGTTTTAGGAGGTTCCCCATCTCCGTGAGTAACAAGTACACCTAATTTTTTTGGTATTTCGTGTTCCATATCCATAACTAAAGATAGAGAACAACTAAGAACAGCAAATAAAAATTACTTAGTGATAAAGCAAACAAGCACACACGAGAATATTCACCCCACGCTATGACTCCCCGACAACGGCGCCAGAAAAAGGTCTTGATAACCCGCAAGTATACGGGATCAATTGTAGCCTCTTTTGATAAGTAAGAGTGTTGAACCCAACGACGAGCTAAAGGTAGAACAAATATTTCCTCAAGTTCTACCGACCACCGATACAACTCTACGCACGCTTGACGTTCACTTTACCTAGAACAAGTATGAAACTAGAAGTACTTTGTAGGTGTTGTTGGATAGGTTTGCAAGATAGTAAAGAACGCATAAATATAAACTAGGGGCTGTTTAGATAAAGAAGCAATAAAGAAAATATAGCGAGTGTGGAAAAGTGGTGGTAGGAGTTGTGAAATTGTCCCTAAGCAATTGACTACTTTACTAGACCGATAGCAAGTTTTATGTGGGAGAGGCCACTGCTAGCATGTCATCCCTGACTTGGAATTCTATGCACTTATGATTGGAACTATTAGCAAGCATCCGCAACTACTAACGTTCACTAAGGTAAAACCCAACCATAGAATTAAGATAAATTGATCCCCCTTCAATCCCGTATGCATCAATTTCTATGCTAGGTAGAAGCTTCTATCACTCTTGCCCTCCAATACATAGTCCTATCAACATACAACTAACCCTATGGTGTGATCCACGCGCGTGCTCATATGATGGCCACCAAAGGACAACAACATAACCACAAGCAAAATAAACCAATCATAGCAATTCATTAATCACCGATAGGACAACGAAAATCTACTCAGACATCATAGGATGGCAACACATCATTGGATAATAATATGAAGCATAAACCACCATGTTCAAGTAGAGGGTACAACGGGTTGCGGGAGAGTGGACCACTGTAGATAGAGGGGGGAAGGTGATGGAGATGTTGGTGAAGATGGCAGAGGTGTTGGTGTAGATCGCGGTGATGATGATGGCCCCCGGCAGCGTTCCGGCGCCACCGGAAGCAAGGGGGAGAGAGCCCCCCTTCTTCTTCTTCTTCTTCCTTGACCTTCTCCCTAGATGGGAGAAGGGTTTCCCTCTGGTCCTTGGCTCCCATGGCGTGGGAGGGGCGAGAGCCCCTCCGAGATTGGATCTATCTCTCTGTCTCTCTCTGTTTCTGCGCTCTGGGTGTTTTGTCTTTTCATCGTTTCATATATATATGGAGATCTGTAACTCCGATTGGATTGAAACCTTCGCCCAGATTTTTCTCCAAAAATTAGCTTTCTTGCGGCCGAAGAAGAGCAGCAACCGCCTTACGGGTGGCCCAGGAGGGTGGCAGGCGCGCCCAGGGTGGGCAGGCGTGCCCCCCTGTCTTATGGCCACCTCGGGCACCATCTCGCGTTGATTCTTCTTCCCATATTCTCCAAATGTTCCAAAAAAATTCTTCGTCCGTTTTTATCCCGTCTGGATTCCGTTTGATATGGGGTTTCTGTGAAACATAAAACATGCAACAAACAGGAACTGGCACTGGGCACTGGATCAATATGTTAGTCCCAAAAATAATATAAAAACTTACCAAAAGTATATGAAAGTTGAATAATATTGGCATGGAACAATTAAACATTATAGATATGACGGAGACGTATCACGCGCTACTTGTTGCAACCTAGGAGGTGGAAGTGATCTATGGAATGAGTACTCCTTAATTAGTGATTTCATAAGAACTCTCATGCTAATCAGGGAAAATTAGGGGAAGACCTGCTGGTCAAAGATGGTTGGCAAGCTAAGGTCAAGGTTCAACCTCTGAAGGTGATGGCGCCGCCAGGCGAAGCCTGGCCTACGTGTAGGCGGCGGCGGGGCTTCCTCTCCCCTCGGCTAGTGGCGGCTCGTGCGGGCAGCCGGGCCATGCTGGTGGCGGCGCGCTGATGGCAGGGCGCGGCAACGGGTGGCAGTGGCGGGAGATCGTGTGTGCTACGCGGTCGCGGCTGCACCTGTGAGCGGCGTGGTGGGCTGCATGAGGCTCCCCTGTTGCTGCCATGAGGGCTCGATCCTGCATGACCAGATCTCGCCGTCGGCGCCGCGGGTGGTGGCTGGCCATTGTTGGGGCTCCTCCTCTGGTGGCGGCTGGTGCTTCCCGTGGCTCTGGGTTGGTGGCCTCGGTGTGGGCAGCTCGTGGTGGTGGCGATGGTTGTTAGCGTGGTCGTGGCACGACGATTGGCGCTTGATGGCGGGGTGCGGGTGGAGGTCGTGGCCTCCTTTCTCCTAGGTTCATGCTGGCGATGCTTAAATACGTCGAGGATGGCTATGACCTAGGGTCTATACTTGGGCGGACCGGATTTGGGCCCGAGGCAGGTCAGAGCCGGCGTTCCGGGTAGGTGAGGTCGGGCATGGTCCGAGAGGTGCTTGTTGAATGCGATGGGGCGTCGCAGCTGCTTTGGCTGGCGGTGGTGCGATGCGGGTTGTGGCGTCTTCGGTGGGCGGCACGGATCTGGATTGTGGTGGTGGACGATGTCTGACAGTGTGTAGGTATGGGGGCTGACTTGGTCCGCGTCGGATTCCTTTGCGTTGTGCCCTTCTTGCTTGGTGCCTGTTGTGACCTGGGTCTGAGGTTGGCTCTCCAGGCATTGTTGTGACGTCGTACGGACCGGCGCTGGTGGCCACGGACATGGCGGCGTTCGAATGTGCTCGGCGGTGGCCGTCGGTAGTCACTGGGTTGCCCCCCCCCTCCTCCCGGTCCACCGGGACTGGCTGGGGACACAGGTGTGTGCCCTTCCTACAGTGGACGACCAGACCTAGTGGCTGATGCCGGGCTAGGAGTGAAAGGAAGTCCCTTTCACTCCTACTATTGTGGCTGGGTGGTCGTGATGTGGATGGTCGGTTGTGCCTAGGGGCATGGATGCCATGGCAGCGGTTCCGGACGACGGGCTTCACGGTTGGCTTTTTGGCATGCTGCATGGTGGCGGTGATGGCTCCATCTCTTGTCGTGTGGGAAAAAAGGGGTGTAGTGGCGGGAGGCTCAGGCCTGCACTAGTGGTCCATCGTTGTCCATCGTTGAGGTGGTGGCCGAGACTCCTCTTGATGGTGTAGGTGAGTGTCTGAGTGAAAGCTTCACGCTTCTGGCGCCAGCGATGGCGAGCGCCGCTTGCCTCTTGAAGACGTTATCGTGGGTCTCGTCCTTGTGCCAGAGCTTTAGGTGAAAACCTTTGTCTGTCTTCAGACTCGGCAGCAACGACGCTTTGCGTCGTCATCCTCCTCGGGGTGTTGTCATGGAGCTCAGGAGTCTTCGGTCGGGCCTTGGCAATGTGTTTGCCTTGTTCTAGGTCCTTGTTGTATCTTTTGATCTGCTTTGTAAGGGGTCTCCCCACCATATTGTATCCTTCCGCCGTGTCCTTTGATTCGTTGATTTATATATAACGTGGAGCGAAAGCCTATTTTGAGAAAGGTGACGGGCGATGGAGACATGCATATATACTGTGGCAAGCAGGCCCATAGGTGATATTCAGAAGGTGGCCTCTCCGGCTTCTCGTGCCAACTAGAAGCTCTGCTCTATCCTCTGCTCCGACTACAGTTGAGGACTGCCACTCATCGGATCCAATGGCTACCTTCCCCTACGATGTGAGGATGTTTCCTCTGCCCGATCATCAAGCCCTTCATGTTAATGGACGTCTTGCTCGCGTGTGTGTGCTCAGTAGCCACTCCCACGGTCAGAGATCCAAGGGTGACATCCATGTTTTTGACCTTGTACGTAAATATCAGATTCTTGAACGATTTTTCTGCAAAGTTGCAGAGCTATGTTTCTGACCGTTGGATGTCTGATCGAACGGTTCAGGGGAGTTCGTATCAAGGGTGCATCTAAGCTCCCATATCACCTGATACTCACTCCCACTCCCACGATGAAAATGATGATTACCTTTCTTCCTATGCACAGCGCGCAAGCTCAATGCCCTCTCTTATTTATTTCTCTCTTGATCCATTTCTCCGAACATGTTGCTGAAATCGTCTGAACTCGCTGAATTCGTCGAAATTTCGCCAAAACACTCATCAGTCTGGACGATGCTGCAGGCAAACTAGTTGAGCAACTTTTGCTGCCATTTCAGTGACACATGGATAACAGAAGGATTTTGTTTCTACTTGCCTGCCATGTACTCTCTCTGTAAACAAGTTTAGTCTATATCCAGTTATTAAAAAGGAACGGTCTCCAGCAAAAACCTGTCAAGAAAAAAGTGAACCAAATTTTACAAGCTTATATCATGAGTGCAGAATAAAACACAAAAAAGCTGCACTTTATATATATATATGAACAAAAGGAAAGGTTTGGTTTAGCATTACAGTAATTAGTCCATAGCTGAAAAATCATACACACCACAACACACGCAGGGGAGAGCAAATAGTATAGCAGCACCATGAGCAGGCACAAGCTGAATGCCCTCTCTTTATTTATTCCCCTCAAGCAAAAGCTTGTTCCCTGCATGATCTACCGAACCAGATGATGCATACTTGCTTTGACAACCAAACCAAGCCATATCAAATCAAATCAAACTGATACTGGCATACGCACCGCCACACCATGGCACTGCAGATGCAGATTTCACACGGACCAATCCAGCAGCATCAAGTAAGGCAGCAACACACAAAACCGTGCACTCCAGGGAAAGCTTCAAGTAATTAAGCACCGTAGAACTAATAGTGTCAGTGTGCCAGTAGCAATCAACCCATGGAAGGAAACGATTTTTGATTACCTACAGTGTGGCATAACAAACCGTCAATGGGATGACATTATGCACACATAGTATCAGCACTAAAGTAGTACAGAAAGAACGGTAAGATTAAGTGATCAAAGTGTTGGGACATACCCGGTCCGGCGACGAATGCCGAGTAGCCTCCGGCGACACGAACGCCGGACGAACCTCTCTCTCACACACACTCGGACATACGGAGGTGGAAGAAAGAGGGGACACTAGATTTTCCGGCGACAAACGCCCCGCCGCACGAACGGCGCCACGCCGACGAACGACGGTTCTTTCTTCTTTCGAGCCCAAACTCGCTCGGCACCACACCGTACAACAATGGACTGGATTACATGGCTTAAATAGCCAGAAGCACCGGCCACCCCATAGCCTGAACGCACACATAGCTAATTACGGAACTGGAGTCTGGAGTCTAACAAACTCTATCCATGCACACACACGGACGCTCACCTCCTAGAATATCTCAACCACATGCACCCATATCCATGCGATGCATGCGCGTAGCTAACAACTTAACCAGCTAACTCACGCCATGCATAGACTAACCAACTCACGCACGCATGTAGCTAGCTTATCCATGCAACAAAGTCGTGATTATCCTAACACAAAGTAGGCACGGAACCACATATGTCTCACTCTCACCTGAGCATGGTGCCTCTTGGCAGGTGGGCCTTCTTGTAGTATCGCGAGTGGCGCAGCTTGTAGAGCGAAGGATCGTGGTTCGCCTCCACCCCATCCCACTCCAGGTTGTCCCACCAGTCCTTCTCGCAATCCACCTTGGGCCGCATGGTGCTGCTCCCACTGACAGCCGGCAGGCGCCTGAGGCTCCAGCAGCCCCTGATCTTGACGGTCTCAAGGTTGGGAGCAGACATCCGTGACCCACAGATCTGCTGCAGCGTGGGGAGCTCGTACATGTGGATGTGTCTTAGTCCAGGAAATTCAGTAACTTCCTGCTTCTCTTGGCACTTAGGGTCCAAAGGGAAGACCTCCTTCAGATCACCGCAGCACACGATCTCGAGTGTCTCCAGCATAGGGAAGGTGCCCACTTGCTCAGGCAAGGGAAGCACATGTATGAGCCTGGGGCAATAGTCCAGGTGCAAGAATACTAGGCTCCAAAAGGAATAGCTTTCAGTTCGGTATATAGGATTCCACTTCCAGATGTAGCACGCCATCGGGAGCTGGGACACCCAGAATGTTTCCAATCGTTGAAGCATCCTATTGGAATCATCGTTTGAAGGAGTAGCAAAGACAGAGTGTAGGTTGGGGCACCTCTCGACACGGCACCATTGGAGGAACACCCAGGTGGAACCTTGTGGGCATGAAATGCAAGCGATGGACGAGCTATCATGCACATGAAGCGTGTGAGTAATATCACAGATGAAACGAGGGGGTATGGTAGCACTTGTACTAGTTCCTTCGATGCTGCTCTGTCCTTGCTGTAGTAATCCCCCCTTCATCTCCTGTTCATCTTGTACGTGAACGTACCAGTCTAGATCCTCTAGATTAGGCCTGGGTGGGCAAGCCCATATCCAGCTAACTCTGCCATCATTACCAGCACCAGCCTGCAGGTGGCCTTGAAAGATGACATCCCTTGCATATAAACAATGACCAGGCTGCCGTATGCTCCTGATTCCTTTAGCAACTTCACTGTCATCAACAGCAACTCTACTTGCAGGAGATGAATTGATTTCCATATGCATCTCATCCGAGGGAAAATTACTTCCGAGGGGTTCAAGAGACCTAAGGGGCCTTGCATCCCTTACAGCGATGTACCAATTACAGGAAAAGATGTCTGGTTGTGTAGCAGCGACAGGAAGAATAGATGATCTTTTAGCAGAACTGGCCTCACTGGTCTTTTCTTTTGAATTAGCTTGGCTAGGTAACGCAGATCGGATGGTGTTGATATGCAGCACCTCCAAAACTCGTGTCATTTTATTTTCTGGTGGCCATAATATTGCACAGAGCTTCTCACAGCCCAGAAGGATGAAACGCTTGAGGTTTGGAGCTTCCTATTCTCTGAGGTCAAGGGTTTTCACTGCTGTGCCCGAGAGGTCCAGCTCCTCCAGGCTCCCCAAATTTCCTCTGAGAAGTATACTCTTTAACCGAGAACAACCCCGGAAGGAGATGCTAGATATCTTGGCTGCAGTTTCTGCTTTGTTGATGAAGCTAAATGACTCGAGCCGTGGAGGCAGGACGTTGTTGATGAAGCTAGATGTGGTGAGGCTGTTTGTATTGGACATATTGGGAAATTGTGCTTCATTATTTGTGTCTTCGTTCTCCGTAGGGACTGAAGCTTCTGTTACTCGAAGTATGACAAGGCTAGGTATACCGCCACACAAATCACTTATGCTCCCATGTTTGACTCCCTCCACATTTAACTCCCTGAGTTCAACCATCAATCTCTTCATCTTTTCAGATAGCAGCCAGTACCAGTGTGTATACCTCAGTTCCAGCACCCATAGCTTCTGGAAACATGATATGTTTTCGTTGTAGCTTGGATGCTCATCATCACCTGTCATATTTGTGCACTGGTCCAGATGGAGCAATCTTAGTTGGCTGCAACAGAGGAAGGGAGGAGATGCAAAACTGAATCTGCAGCGAGAGAGGTGTAACACACGCAGCTTGCTATTTCGTGAATGTTGGAACAGGCTAGGTTGCAATACTGGTATTGTATTTATTGGTGGTTCATCGGGAAGCACAAAGAAGGATGTCACCCCAGGACGTAGCACACCAGTATCATCCTGCAGCAGATCCTTGTGTGTGACATAAACCCAGCGATCATCATCAACATTACTGTTTCCCGTAATCAACTCTGCTAAGTATCTTGTGCCTTCAGGGTTCTTCCTAACCCAATCCAGGCTTATGTTCCTCTGCAGAGAATTGCCAATCTCCCATGCTGATGTATTGCCTTGGACCTGTATAATCCCATCACAGATCCAATAGTTTGGTCCATGGGTGTCCAAGTCCACCAGACCTGTAGGAGAGAAGATTATTTGTGCCCATCCGTACAGGGCGTACAGGACGCACTGCTTCACTACCTTGTGGTTCATATAGCCAGGCTTAGCAATCCTCGTGCAAGTGGCAACCTCCTCGGCCTCTTCATGAACTAGATTACAGAACTGTTCAGAAACATATCCATGAGAAGTACGGAGATAAACATTAGTCTGCATCATCATCTTTAGATAAACATTAGTCTGCATCATCATCTTTTCTGGTTCCCCGTCATCTAGCACGAGATCGAGCCGAAACCTCCCGTGCCAGGTCCACAACACCTTGTTACCCAAAAGTGGTATTGTTGGGACACCACACTCGTAGAAATCAATATATCTTCTGCTCCCGTTGAGAAAAAACAGCACAAATCTACTGTTGAGAAGCTTTCTGCATATTTCCCTGCTGATATCTTCTATCACCCCTCTGGACCCTTGCTCTATCCCATTGAAATCGTCGTCCTCGTCACACCGATCGAAGATAGCCATCACAGACAGCGGAAGCTCCAGCTCCTCTGCTACTGCCTTTTGCAGGGCCCTCATGCTTTTCCACACAAAGCAATCCACATGAATAACCTTGTCAAACTTTGATTTTGATGATTTCAGACGTTGGGCAACCACCTTTAGTGCCGCTGAAGCCCCTAATCGCCGCCATCCATGGAAGTAGATCACATTTCCTTTGCTTGTGTCCTCCAAAACACTAATTATCTCTTCTACCGCAGCATCGATGTTTTGTGCCTGGATCCTGATGTCCTGCAATGTTCAAAAACAATAGCAGAAAATGAGGTTTGTCGCTTTTAGTTTCTTTTTATTTAACTCTTCAATTTCAAACCATAAGGCGCATCATAACTAAAAGTTTTCCTTACGATTATTACGACTTACTAACACGAATAAATAGGTAAGTAAAGATCAAGTGTGTGTGTGTGTGTGTGTGTGTGTGTGTGTGTGTGTGTGTGTGTGTGTGTGTGTATAGAAACATGGTCACTGGCCAAGTGTGCAAGTAATTAAGTACGAAAGATCCAACTGAATCTGCAAAAGATTTTTCAAACTTGAAATGCTAGCAGACGACAGATGTAAACAAAATCACATGGAAGAATGGCCTATTTAATTCTTGTCAGTACACCAATTAAAGATCCCAGTTGAGCTCACCAGCTAAAAAAATCAAGCAAGTGACAAATCTGCAGTATTGACCACTGAAGATTGAGGTGTGTGATGGATTACCTCCAGTCCAGGCATGGTGAATCAAATCAATCCTTTAAACGCCAGCAGCTACGTACGGTTGGAATATCTAACCCATGGGCCAATCTGCAGCAATCTCCAGATCTAATTTCCTCCCTTTCCTGACATATATAAGATCGGTGCAAGCATTTGGACAAGTTACAACCTGATGCCTTGTTAAAAGTAGACTTGCCTAAATTGGTAGAAGCAATTAATAAATCTGCAGATATGTATACCGAACGATTGGTATAGTTACCTTGAATAACTGATGTACTGGGAGGGACAAGCCTAGATACACCACACGAGCAGCAAACTAGCTGTGGTCTGTGGGTGAGGAAACTGAAAGTTGCATGCAGGCTTATGCATTCACATAGCAAGGTATGGGAAACGGCCATGCGTATGAAGACCCAGTAGCAACATTCCTTTTCTTTGCTTTGCTTTTTCTCTCTAAATAAAAGCTGCAAATTCTTCGCTTTCTACACACCACATCCATCATCAGATTCTTTGCTTGCTGGGTTTAAAGATGCACGGGGATATATAAAGGTAAAGATAAATCTGGTTGTTGTCTGCCATCCGGCCCGTTAGTCGACCAACTTTTGTATGCCACTAATATTACCTTGAGGAACACGCAGTGTGTCTTGGGCACCGACACTGCCTCTAAGCCATAATTCTAATAGTTTCTATTTTCATATAGTACTTGTAAAGCAAATGAGGTAAATAAAAGTTAGAATTAAAGCAGTTCCAGCCGGTGCAGTGACACGGGCCCACATGTCAGCTGCCGTGTGGAGGCTTCCTCATTCCTTTGCCACGTCAATGCAACCTCAGGCAGGTCAGAGCCAAATGGTTTTTTTTTGGAACGAAGATGCTAAAAGCGTCCGGCTTTAAATTAATAAAGCCCACAGGCAACAGGTTCAACTGGTTACAACTTAGCGATAACAAAAGAAAACGTTCGGCATGAAACGGAACAGAAAGGTTCAACGCGACGGAAATATTACAACCGGCCAAATCATCCAGCGCTGAAGACCTAGCTAACATAAAATTCCCATAAAAGACTCCAAATGCTTCACCGGCTCGGCGTATCTTGTCTTGTCATCGTCTGGATAGTCCTGATGCGCGTCATGAACTCTGACATACGCTCAGCATCGCGCTCCTTCCCCAGTGGAATCCACATCTGCAGAAATAGATGGCATTTGAAGATCACGTCTGCAGGATGGTTAGGAAATTTTTTTCTCAATCATCATTTTATTATGCGTCGTCCAAATAGCCCAGAGCAGCGCCCCTACGCAACGCCAAGCGATTCTACTACTCGTCCCTTTAGAGGACTTTAGAATGGTAATTAAGTCATTCCCCGAGGCTGGGTTCCAGTTCGTGTGGAAGGCTTCACGAAAAGCACTCCACGCGAACTTGGCCAGGTGACATCTAAAAAGACGTGGTTTGCATCTTCACCTAAGCCGCATACCGTGCAGGTACCATCAGCCGGACCGTGACGTTTGGCCACGTTATCCGAAGTGGGCAGCCTATTCCTAAACATTTGCCACATGAAGATTTTAATCTTCAGGGGCAGGCCTGCCTTCCACAGCCCCTTAGCTATATCAAGCGTTGACCCTTCAGTTAGCTTGTTATATAGGGACTTCACCGTGAATTTCCTCGAAGCTATAAGCTCCACTCAACCGAGTCAACCCCCGTCCCTAGGCGGTTGGCACCTATTTGCTGAACCAGCCCGGCCCAAGACTCACGCTCTTCGTTTGTTAGGGCCCGCAAAAAGTGGATCACCGGGGGTCAGAACGGACTGCCTCCCCTACTAAGACGTTGGTGTTAGTGGCGATCTGAAATAAGTTGGGGTGACTTTGCCAAAGGGGAGAGGCTCCCAGCCAGCGATCAAGCCAAAACCGAGTTGATTGGCCATTGTTAATCTGGAATTTGGCCCGAATATCAAAAGCGGGCCGCACCGCTTGGATCCCTTTCCAAAACACGGAGCCGTTGGACGAGGCTGTGAAGGGATTCCCATTCAGGAAATACTTGGCTTTTAATAGCTGAGCCCAGAGACCCGACTCATTTTGGGCCAGCCACCACCACCATTTGGAAAGGAGGGCGACATTCATCAATTTGGAATTAAGGATTCCCAATCCTCCAAACTTTTTTGGCCTACAGACCGCCGCCCACTTTACTAGGTGGTATTTCCGTTTTATGCCAGTTCCTTTCCAAAAGAATCGGGACCTCGGTGTGTCTAGCTTGGCGTGCACGCCATCGGCTAGTAAGAACATCCCCATAGTGAAGAGGGGAAGGGAAGAGAAGCTCGAGTTAGTTAGAATGAGCCTTGCAGCAGAGGACATGAAACGCCCTCGCCACGGGCTTACCCTGTTGGCCACTTTCCCATACAAAGCTTGCGGTGAGAGATAGGTAGCCCAAGGTACTTAATTGGAAAGCTCCCAAGCTTACAATTAAGTAGATTTGCGACATGCAGGCTTTGTTGGTCGTCCATCCCCATGGTAATGACCTCGCTTTTAAGAAAGTTAATTTTGAGTCCGGAGAGGATCTCAAAGGCTAGTAGCAGTAGCTTAATTGAAGCGATACTATGGTCATTTGGCTTGAACAAAAGCAAGGTATCGTCTGTGTATTGGAGATGTGTCACACCACCCGGGATGAGGTGTGAGACAAGCCCCATGATGTGTCCGGCCTCCCTGGCCTTGGACAACATGGCTGCCATAGCATCAGCCACAAAGTTAAAGACAAGAGGGGAGATGGGATCGCCCTGTCTAAGCCCTTTCCTATTACGGAAAAACTTCCCCATTTCGCCATTGACAATAACCGAGGTGTTGCCACTCGAGATCAGGTGCATGATCCGGTGGAAGAACCCTGCCTCAAAACCCTTTTTGAGGAGGACCTCTCGCACAAACTCCCAGTTTACACGGTCGTATGCTTTTTCGAAATCTACCTTGAGGATGACTCCCTGACCACGCGTACGTTTTAACTCATGAATTATCTCCGTGAGAGCAATAGGCCCTTCAAGAATGTTTCTGCCTTTAAGGAAAGCGGTTTGACTCTTATTAATAACTCGTTGAGCGACCGGCGTTAACCTAGAAGCGTAGGCTTTGGCACAAATCTTGAAAGGGACGTTAATGAGCGTGATCGGGCGGAACAACATAATAGAGTCCGCCCCTTTGACCTTGGGAATCAAGCAGATCGCCCCATAATTGAGGCGCGCCAGGTCAACCGTACCGAGGGCAAAGCCGTTGACAATGGCTTGGAAAAGGTCCCTAAGGAGCGGCCAGAACCTTTTGAAGAACTCGACCGGCCAGCCATCCAGGCCTGGAGCCGTGTCGTTCTTCATTCCAGCCAGCGCTAGATCAATCTCTTGGGGCGAAAAGGACACCATCAGGGCGTCATTTTCCTGTTGAGAGACACGCTCATCCGGTCCCCATAAGTCTTCCCTTAGACTTAAGCTCTTCGCTTCGGCTGTTCCCAACAGCGCAACGAAGAAGTCGAAGATGTGCTCAACGATTTCATTTTGGGTGACCAGAGTCTGATTCTCCGACTGGAGCCGAAGGATTGTGATCTTTCGTTTACGGCCGTTAGCAAACGCGTGGAAGTAACCCGTGTTGGCGTCGCCTTTCACGACCCACTTGACGCCGCCCCTACGGCGCCAGTACTCCTCCTCCGCCCTGAGGATAGCCAAGACCTGATTTTCCAGGGAGTAGCGGAGCTCCCATTCGTCTCCAAAGAAAGTTCTAACATCAGCCTGCGCATCGAGGCGCGTGATTTCCTCCACGATGCGCTCCCTTTCCCTTTTAGACTCGCTGAAATGATTGGCCCCCCAACCCCTGAGGAAAGCCCGCAAGGCCGCAGCCGCAGAGGACCAGAACTCTACTTGTCCTCGTTGACGCCCCAGCTGGGTACCGATCAAGGTCCAGCAGTTCGATACAAGTTGGCAGAAACCCTCGTGTTCGAACCAAGCTGTCTCAAAGAAGAATCTACGGTTGCGGCAAACACAGCAGGATCAGAGGAACATGATCTGATCCGATGCGCGTCTTGGCTACTAAGGTACAAAGGGGGAACAACACCTCCCAATCACTTGTACAAAAAACACGGTCGAGAACACAGCGGACTGGCTCCCGCTGTTTGTTAGTCCAAGTGAATCTCGCACCAGTACGCGCAATCTCTCTAAGAGCAGCGGCCGTGATGGCATTGTTGAACAGGGACACCCTAGCCCAGTCTATGTTGCCATTGTTCTTGTCCGCCCCCGAGCGGATCAAGTTAAAGTCCCCTCCCACCACGACTGGCAGGTTGGACGTGTTGGAAATATGCCCTAGAGGCAATAATAAATTAGTTATTATTATTATATTTCCTTGTTCATGATAATCGTTTATTATCCAAGCTATAATTGTATTGATAGGAAACTCAGATACATGTGTGGATACATAGACAACACCATGTCCCTAGTAAGCCTCTAGTTGACTAGCTCGTTGTTCAATAGATGGTTACGGTTTCCTGACCATGGACATTGGATGTCGCTGATAACGGGATCACATCATTAGGAGAATGATGTGATGGACAAGACCCAATCCTAAGCCTAGCACAAAGATCGTGTAGTTTGTATGCTAAAGCTTTTCTAATGTCAAGTATCTTTTCCTTAGACCATGAGATTGTGCAACTCCCGGATACCGTAGGAATGCTTCGGGTGTGCCAAATATCACAACGTAACTGGGTGGCTATAAAGGTACACTACGGGTATCTCCGAAAGTGTCTGTTGGGTTGGCACGAATCGAGACTGGGATTTGTCACTCCGTGTGACGGAGAGGTATCTCTGGGCCCACTCGGTAGGACATCATCATAATGTGCACAATGTGATCAAGGAGTTGATCGCGGGATGATGTGTTACGGAACGAGTAAAGAGACTTGCCGGTAACGAGATTAAACAAGGTATCGGGATACCGATGATCGAATCTCGGGCAAGTACAATACCGCTAGACAAAGGGAATTGTATACGGGATTGATTAAATCCTTGACATCGTGGTTCA